TGTTGCGATGGGCATGCGGGAGACTTTGGGACCCCTTCTCTCCAGCTCTTTAAGGCAGTAGATCTTTCACAGAAGAGGCATGCTTTGTTAAAAGTTAGAGTGTGGGTGTGGGATTGGCTCTGAGGTCAACCAGCAAGTTGAACCAGTTGGGCCTCCAACCTAAAATAGAGGCAGAGGAGCTAGAATGAAAAAAGGAGGGCTCGAAGGCCCTCTAGTGGGCGGTTGTGGAGCGGCACTCAGAAGCGCACCCGGGGCTGGAGCTCACCCAAAATCACGAAAAGGGATTAGTCTTCCCAAATCCAGGAAGGCCCGTTTACCTGGGAGAGCTACTCACTTTTCTTGGCCAAAATACGGTTATAAACTATATGATAAAGGTTATTTTTAAAAGGCAAGAGAACCAAAATATGTGGTCTAGCCGAAACCTGTTTGGCTCAGTGGTAGAGCGTCGGTCTGTGGACTGAAAGGTCCCAAGTTCGATTCCGGTCAAGGGCATGTACATTGGTTGCGGGTACATCCCCAGTAGGGGGTGTGCAAGAGGCAGCTGGTCAATGTTTGCGTTTCTAGCTCTATCTCTCTCCGTTCCTCTCTGTAAAAAAATCAATAAAATATATTTTTTAAAAGATTTTCAAAATATCTGGTCTAAATTTGAGGTGTTAACACTTATATGTGGGTCTGCTCACCAGCCCACCTTACCTATGTGCTGGGCTTCAGAACTTTGATATACTAGTCTGTGGTGTTAGGATTTTTTCAGGTTTATCTCATTCCCGTTTGGGAAGGAAGAAGTCTCCAGAGCATCGCAACCTCTTGAAATTGATAGCCACTGAAATTCCACCTGTTCGGGTTTTTTAAAGGACCCCCATAACTTTTGAGAGTTCATATCATAGAATAATATCCAAGATCTATGAAATGCAAAATTCAAAATACAGAGTGATGGGTAGTAATCTATCATTTGTGCTAAAAATACAGCAGCGTGTGTTTTACATGCTCGATTGTATTTGCATCAACTGTCTCTGGAAGGACACACCACACACACACACACACACACAGCTAGTGAAGTTGGTTGTCTTGTCCCCCCCCCCCTCCCCAGCTTTATTGAGCTACAGCTCACATATAACATTATGTAAGCTTAAGGTATGCCTGTGGGGATTGGATTTACATAAATTATGAAATAATTACCACCACAGTATTAGCCAATACATGCATCACATCATGTAATTACTATTTCTTTATTGTGGTAAGAACATTTAAGATCCACTTGCTTAGCAATTTCCAATCTATAATACAGTATTGTTCACTATACCCTCCACACTGTCATTAGATCTTTAGGAACTGGGAGTTTGTACCTTTTGACCATCTCCCCAGCCTCTCTGGCCAAGGCCCCTGGCAACCATCATTTTCTATTTCTATGAGTTCATCCTTTTTAGATTCCCCATGTGATATCATTCAGTATTGGTCTTTCTCAGATTATCTCACTTAGTGGAGTGCCCTCAAGGCTCATCCACGTTGTCCAAAATGACAGGGTTCCCTTTTTTCTCATGGCTGAATTACATTTCATTGTAGATATAGACCCCATCTTCGTCCATTTGATGAATGCTGAGGTTGTTTCCATGTCTTCGCTATTGTAATGCTGTAATGGATATGGGACTGTAGGTATCTATGGGATATCCTGTTTTCATTTCCTTTGAATATATACCCAGTAGAATTGCTGGATCATATGGTAGTTCTATTTTTAATTTGAGGGGGGGGGCTTCCATATTTTTCTACTTACTATAGCTACCTACATTCCCACCGACAGTGTACAAAGGTTTTCCTTTTCTCCACATCCTCACCAACACTCAATATCTCATCTTTTTTATAAGCTAGTATAAAATCTCATCGTTTTGATTTCCACTTACCTGTTTAGTGATGTTGAGCGTCTTTTCATGTACGTGTTGGTAATTTGTATGTCTAATTTGGGAAAATAGATGCTCAATTCTGCTCATTTTCAAATCAGATTTTTTTGTGCTATTGTGTTTTAGGAGTTCCTTATATGTTTTAGATATTAACTCATCAGATATATGGATTTATAAATATTTCCTCGCATTCCTTAGGTTGTCTTTTTGTGTTGTTTTCTTTTGCTGTGAGGATATATTTCCATTGACTTTTAGGGAGAAGAGAAGAATGAGGGGAAAAGTCAGAGAGAAACATGGATGTGAGAGAAAAACACATTGACTGGTTGCCTCCTGCATGAGCCTTGACTAGGGCCTGGGCCGGGTCTGCAGGCCGATGCTCTATCCACTGAGCCAAACTGGCTAGAGCTAATTCTCTCCCTCTGTCGTCCTCTCCCTCTGGAATCAATAAAAAAATAAACAAAATTTACTCAATGAACAGGGGCAGTAAATACAGACAGAATGATCCCTCTCTCCTTTTCCCATGAGAATACAAGCTGCACTAACTGGAGGGAGAGGTGGCAGGTGGCAAATGTAACCTTTCCCTGTAAATAAGGCTCAGCATGGTCCATGCTCCTTACAATAATCACCACACAGCAACCCAGGAGTTCCACAAGAAAAATATAATTAGGTTCCAAAGGACAGAAGTTTGCATGCACAGTCACATACACCATGTCAGAACCTCAGTGCTCTTGTCTCTATTATATCTAGACACAAAATGCCCAAAGATTTACAAAACAAGCCATACAAATTTTAAACATGTTTACAAAGATGAAAATATAAAGAAATGAAGACTATGGAATTTTGTTTGCCAACAGTTTCACTTTGAATCCTGTCTTGTGTGAAAACCAGATAGGGCATCAGAAAGTGTATTTGATACTATATGCTAGAATTTCAGTAGACAACATTGATAAAATCCTAAGCATCAATAGTCTAGGACAAATAACTATCATAATCCTAAAATGTGATCTTCAATTATTCCCCTAAGTACTGCTGCTATAATTGTCTATTTATTAAACCTTTATTTAGAGAATAAAACTGACATTAGAATTCTATCTCAGGAAAGAGAATAACCTTAATTAAATCTTCAATCCCAACTTTTAAAGCTTAGCTTTTCTGCTCGCCTGCAACTATTTTTGGTTCGCTGCTAACTTCTAAAGTGTCCTAAGACAATCGGTGTGATGCAAAGTCACTTTGTCTGGAGGGTGCTCACATTTCGTTATATTTGAAGCCGTAGGGCATTGAAATCTTCCCTTCCTAAACTAGACAGAGAATGTCACCCGTTTAACACTCAGACCGCCCACCCAGGAGCCGGGTCCTCTGTAGCTGGACCGTCCTCTGTAGCTGGACATCTGCAGCAGAATGTTACTGCCCACAGTTCAGCTCCTGAGCACTGAGCTTAGGTCACAGGACAGACCCTTTCCACAGTCACCTTGGGGAAGTTTGACGATGAAATCAGAGACAAGACATGAAGCTGAGCCTGAAGGGCTCTGCTACAAGGAAGCAGTGCAGTGGGTCCGGAGTGGTGCCACGTGTGTGTGTGTGTGTGTGTGTGTGTGTGTGTGTGTGTGATGCCAGCGCAAGGCCAGCCACGGAGACGTGCAGCCCCACTCCAGGCCGAGGGCTGGCCCCTGGCCCCCGAGGGGGAAGCAGGGCTCTGCCCAGCACCAGGCACCAGCCACTGCCTGTCTGCTGCAGCTTCTCCTCTAAGGCAAGCCCTCAAGGCTACATGAAGGAGAATCACACACCGGCCCTCGCCCTGTGGGAGGGTTCCAGTGGTTTCCAAGCATGACGGCCAGGCTGTCAGCAGACAGGACACCCGACACCCACCATAGCACCATATTTAAGCCTGAAGTGAGGTAAACATAAACTCTCAGGTAGCTTTGGGTAGGAATTTCAGTAGCAATTTTGTGTGGATTATTTGGAGGGGAGGGGGTCTTTATTCTTCAATTTTGTTATAATATCGATAGCAATTTTGAATGAGGTGTGTACAGCAGTATTCTTTCTGATCATTTAAATAAGTTGTTTGAAGAGCCATTTGATCCCAAGTATGTATATATAAGTATATATCAAAATTTTAAAATTATCAAGCCAAGTGGGTAAGCTTTTGGCAGGAGAAATGTAGCCAATCAGAACCCTCATTTTTGAAATCTAAACCATGTCACTGTTGGGCTGGTGAAGCCAAGGGTTTTGATCAAGGACACAAGCCAATCACAGGGCTGGTTCAGCCAAAGGCAGGGCCCGGCAATGCCAGTTCTCAGAGCAAGGTCAGGGGCACCATAGACATCCTGTGGACACCCAGCCCCGAGGGGAATGGGCCAGCCTACCTGTCCTGCTTGTTGCTCCATTTAAGAATGAGCAGGTGGGTAGCTTCTCTCTTCCCCAACTATTCTAATGCATATGACGAACTTCTCTGGAACCTGTACTTACAGTTTCTGCAGAGGGAGAGACCCTCACCTTGGCTAACACTTACAAGGGGTAAAATATATATCAGCAAATGAAAACAGACTTGAGATAAGGGATAACTGGAAACAATTCTCTAATTGAGTTCCTCCAAACTGGTAAGATGAAAAAATAAGATGTAAAGAATTAATGAAACTTTTCAAATTGTCCCCACCCCTTTAACATTACTCAACACAGAAGAGAAATAAGAAACCTTCGATGGAGCTGTTCAGGGGCATAAAAAATTAACTTTCCAGAGGAGGACAATGACCATCCTCGTGGCGTGTGAACAGCACGGGAGGCAGGCTCTAGCTGAAGCCGGTCTTGGTGCTCAGGCAGAAATTTATCGCTCGGTTTGGCCAAGATTCTTCAAAAGCACTCCTCAGTAGTCTTTTCATCGGACTCTGCTGAGAACCGGGTGGAACCAGATGAACACGGTCACTCCCCTGGCAGCCTCTAGAACCCGCGTTAGAAACAGTTTCAGGTTGGTACTTATCCTAAACATGCAGCGAATGCTGCCGACCAGTCTGCAGAAACTCGTGTAAACAGTCCTTCCTTCACAAATCTGCCGGTGCCGAGCACCAAAAGGGAACATAGGGGGACACTTTCGCGCTGCTCGCAGGATGCTAACTAGTGGATGAGGTCTCTGAGCTCGTCGTCGGTCAGCTCGTTCACTTCCATGATCTTCTCCAGGTGCTCCATGTACCGCTCCCGGTCCAGCAGGAACTGCGGGACCCTCATGTTCTCCGTGGCGCCCAGTTCCTTCAAGCGGTCCACGTCTTCGTAGGAGACCTGAGAAGGGAGGCAGGTCACTTTCAACGTCACTCTCAGTCACAGTTAAAGAGCAATTTCTTCCCTGGGTGGTAAGTACGCTTTTAAGTATGTGGACTATTTTTTTAATACATTTTTTTTTAATATATATTTTATTGATTTTTTACAGAGAGGAAGGGAGAGAGATAGAGAGCTAGAAACATCGATGAGAGAGAAACATCAACCAGCTGCCTCCTGCACACTCCACAACGGGGATGTGCCCGCAACCAACGTACATGCCCCTGACCGGAATCGAACCTGGGACCCCTCAGTCCGCAGACCGACGCTCTACCGCTGAGCCAAACCGGTTTCGGCTTAATACATTTTTTATTGATTTTAGAGAAGAAGGGAGAGGGAGAGAGAGACAGAAACACAGTGATGAAGGAGAATCATTGATTGGCTGCCTCCTGCACACCCCTTTCTGGGTCCAAGCCTACAACCCAGGCATGTGCCCTTGACCAGAATCAAACCTGGGACCCTTCAGTCTGCAGGCCAACACTGAGCTAAACTGGCTAGGGCAAGTATGTGAAGTGTTTTTCAAATTACTTTACTATCTGCAAAATTGCAAAATTCTTTTTCCTTTATTATTTTAATTTTTATTTATTGAGTTTAGAGAGAAAGAGGAAAGAGAAGAGGGGTGTGGGAGAGGGAGAAAGAGAAGCATTGGTTTGTTGCTCCACTTATTCATGCGTTCATTGATTGCTTCTTGTATGTGCCCTGACCGGAAATCAAACCCAGTCAGGGCACATGCCCAGGTGTGGGCTCAATCTTCAGTGTAGAGCCTGTAGGATCAGCCGATCAATGATCTCCCTCATCACTGACGTTTCTCTCTCTCTCTCCCTCCCCCTTCCTATCTGAAATTAATAAAAGTATATTTTAAGGGGGGGGAGGGGTAGTGTTATTTCTACAAACTACTTTCAAATGCTTTAGAAAAAGATGTATATAAATGAAACTACACACTGCATCCCCAAATTTACCATTCCCTTCTTTATCTCTTGTCGTCCACTAAGGGAGTTTGCTGTTCGGTTCTATGACAGAACGCATTTCTTCCTCCTGTATCACGTTAAAGCAGCTAATTCCTAGCACAGATAAGAGCAGTTGAACCTGCGCCGTCGTCATCATAAGGCAGCAGGGGAGGTGCTGTGCAATGGGTGGGGACCTTGCCGCTGCCCCCCTCCCATCCCCTCACCCCCCTACCCCTGTCACTCACCTTGCCCAGGGCAGTCAGCAGGGGGAAGTCGATGGAGTCCCGGTGTCGCAGCAGCTGCAGGATACCATCCAGGTACACCTGGTCTTTACTGAAGCAGCCTGCAGGGACCACAGCGTGTTTACCCCAGTGTCCGAAGCATCCCTCAGTAATGAGATGCTGATTGTTCCCTGTTAGGAAGCGGCCTGTACAAAAGGGTTTTCTAAGGTGCCACGTTTACTTGTGTTTAACTGCTCTATCTTTGTAACATCCACTGTAAGGTCTCTGGAAGGACCAGGACAACATGGAGACCAGCAGCTCCCCTTTAAGAATCTCTTCTCCCCAGGTCCCCATCCCTATAATTAAAACAGCATTTTCCCCCAATGATAAAGAAACACCTGTAACTTAAATTGTATGACTCCTATAAATAACTAGAGGCCTGTTGCAGGAAGATTCAGGCAATAGGCCTTCCTTCCCCTAGCTGCTGCACCAGTTTCCCTCTGGCACCAGGGACCCAGGCCTTTGCTTTGGCCACAGCAGAGAACCTAAGCATCTTCTGTCTTTAGTCTTCAGTCTTTAGTAGCTCTGTGCCTGTGTATGCAAATTAACCCACCATCTTTGTTTGGTTAATTTGCATACTCCTTATTGGCTGGTGGGTGTCTCAGAGGTAAGGTAAATTTGCATATTTCTCTTAGAAGATTATCCTACCCTCACCTCCACCCCACCCTCTTATTGCAACCTTAACTCCCATGATGCAATGAGGGTGTCTGGTGAGGAAGGCGGGAGACAGTTTACAGCATTAGGTCTCACAGGGGCAATGTAGAAGCATAGGATGTCAGAACTACCAATTTAAAACACACACACACACACACACTAATCCCTTTGCACCATTAAAATAACTATGGAGATTCTGATACTATTCTTCCCTAAGAAATCAATAATTAGGACTGAGTTTTAAAGACTATAGAGTTTATAAATAGAAAAAATGTGGATGAAGACATGATGAGCAGAAACAGCTCGTGAGATCTGATCCTACTCTGAAGTGCTCATTTACAAAGAAAACCCTCCTCCCACCTGACAGCGCGTGAATTTGGAAACGCTGCTCTGTTCCGTGGACTGAAGTCGCCGCTCGGAGTCCTGTGCTATGACGCTGAGGATGCGGTTAGCTAAGCTAATAGCCCGGGCACTGTGGACAAGCTGTCCTTACCGGGTAGGGACGCGCATGGGAGTGCCTGCAGGTAAGAGGACAGATGTCTGGAATTGGTTTCCAATGCTCTAGGGACAACTGGCGAACCAGTTAGTGGCTCATAACCACTAAGACTGCGTCAGTCAGCACATCCATCACGCCTGTGTTTTCTGTCGATCCTCACCCCAAAGTCAGAGGACCTATGGCCCAGGGCCACCCACCTGGCTGGGCCGTGTCGGTGCAGCCCCTCTTGGCCCGCACGCAGTAGTCCCACCTCGTGTTGGCGTCCTTGACAAACTTGCCAATGTCCTCAAAGAGCTCGCAGAAGGACAGGCGGCTGGCCTGGAACACCGTGTAGTAGAGCAGCGCGGCCCGCCACAGGAAGGGGTCCTTCCTGAACAGCACGCTGTGGATGCTCGCCAGCCCCTCCTCCGTGGGGTTGTTGGGCTTCAGCTCGAGCTTCCGGCGGCCAGTCCAGCTGCCCCAGGGCTGCTGCAGGTTGTTGATGCCCCGGAAGTAATGGGTGCCTGTGGAAGCAGGAAACTCGGTCTTTACTTCCTTCCCCAAAACTCTACCAGCCATTCTCAGCCCAAATCAACCCAAACAGCAGAAGCCAGCCCGCCCCACCCCAAGCCTCTGATGGGAAGGAGCACTCTGCCCCCTCCCCCCCACTCCCGCCCCTCCAAGGGCTCCCAGGGCTCCTCAGAAGAGGTTATTTTTGTCAAAGGAGGAATCATAGATTTGATATTTAAAAAGAATCTCAGAGATCAGGTAACTCCTTAAGTTTAAGGTCAAGGAACCGAAATCCTGGGGTTCAGTGACTTTTTAAGCTTAATGCTGCTGCAAGGGGCCCTGAGAACCTAACTTGAAATGGGACATGAATCAGCGTAGCTCAAGTTCAAGTGAAGCCTAGCAACTCCATTGCCTTTTACCAAATATAAGTACGAAAACCCCATTGCAAAGAGTGTGTCTGTGGAGATTCAGTATGACGCGGGACGGTGGAGGGGCCGCCCTACCGATTTCGTGCCTCAGCATTCCCTCCAGCCAGTGCTCGCGTGCAGTGGACACATTGATGGTCAGCGTGGGGCAGCCGTTGACCACCGTCATGGAGGCGCGGGAGAGCAGGTCCTCGGTGAGGTGGACCACGATCTGAGGCCACAGGGAAGGTACGGAGATGTGAGCACAATGAGAAGGTGGGGGGCCAGGCCCAGGAACACCTTTTGTTTCCAGCACCCTGATGCTCCCAGAACTAAGAGGATGAACTGAGGGCCAGTGCCCTCGACCTTCCGGTGCGGAGCCTGTGGCACCTCAGGGCCTCCTGGACTGGAAGGAAGGCAAGGGCTCTGCGGGAAGACACGAGGACGGGCCTGTCCCGCTGCGCTCGGCCCCAGCCACGGTGACTCGGGGCAGGTGCAGATGGAGGCCTGGCCCTGGGCCGAAGCTGTGTCTCCACTGAACGCCAGGACCTGGCTTCCAATGGGAGGGGCCCAGGGCGATCTCTTCATTGACAATTTTCACAAAACCTCTCACATGATGCCATAAGCTACAGAAATGACGGTCAGGAAAGAAACTGAACACAGCTCAATGCCATGGAAAAACAGACTTCCAGTGTTCAGTCAGAAATCTGCATGGCTGGTTTAAGGAGCTCAGGGTTGGAAAGACACCGCCTGCAGCCAGCGCCCGGGCCCTGCAGAGGCTAAGTGCCCCGGCGCTCGCTCCGGACTCACCTCCCCCAGGCAGCCCTCCTTCATCATGTACTTCCTGACGTGGCTCCAGATCCGCGTCTTGGACAGCAGGCTCCCGCCCGTGGCCTGCTCAAACTTCTCGTAGCTTCCGTATTTCTGTAAAGTCAGCTCCATGATGTTGATGGCCTGGAAAAGAAAGACAACATGGAAGCCAACAGCCTCCCATTACTCCGAGGGGAGTAATAAGCTGGTAATACTCTTTCTTATCATGACTGTGTCTGCTGTTTATAGATTCCAAATGAAAATACACCCGAGGCACCACATCTTTCTAATCCTAAGCAGCTGTCACTCCCTTGCACATACTTTCACAAACACCTGTCAGTTACAAATACTTCTCTTTCTGTATTCATTTCTCTCTTTTTAAAAAAAAAAAAAAAAATCTTTATTGTTGAAAATATTATATGTCCCCCTTTTTCCCCCTATGGACCTCCTCCCACCCACCCCTGTCCTCTGCCCTAAGCCTTCACCACCCTATTGTCTGTGTCTATGGGTTATGCATATCTGCACAGATAACCTCCCACCCATCCTCCTCTGCCTTCCCTCCAAGATTCCAATGTGTTCGCTTCTCTTTAATACATATGACCAACTACTACACAACCTACCACCATATGGCCAACTACTCATGACCCACTACCAGGAGGAGTACACCGAAGATAACTTCAAACATAGGTCCACACAAAAACTTGCACATGCATTCATAGCAGCATTATTCATAAGAGCCAAAGAGCAGAAACAACCCACATGTCTATCAACTGAAGAGTGGACACACAGAATGTGCGTTATACATCCTCGGGTATTACTCAGCAATGAAGTCCTGACACAAGCTACAACATGGATGCATCTGGACAGCATTATACTAAGTGAAAGGAGCTTGTTACCAAGGACCACATGCTGAATGGTTCCACTTATGTGAAACTTCCAAAACAGGCAAGTCCATAGAAGAAGAGAGAGTAGACTGGCGCTGGCCTAGAGCTGGGAGGCGGGTGGCCAGTGGGGAGTCATTTCTAAAGGGCAGAGGTTCCGCCGAAACCGGTTTGGCTCAGTGGATAGAGCGTCGGCCTAACTGAAAGGTCGCGGGTTCGATTCCGGTCAAGGGCACGTACCTTGGTTGCGGGCGCATCCCCAGTGGGAGGTGTGCAGGAGGCAGCTGGTCGATGTTTTCTCTCTCATCGATGTTTCTAACTCTCCCTCTCCCTTCCTCTCTGTAAAAAATCAATCAATAAAATCTATTTTAAAAAATAAAAAATAAATAAAAATAAAGGGCAGAGGTTTCTTTCGGAGAGTAATGACATGTCCTGGAATTGGACAGTGGTGATGCTGCAGAATTCTAAACACACTCAGAATCACTGACTGTACACTCAGGGGGATGAACTGCTCGGCGTGGGACTTTTACCTAAAGCTCTCATTTAGAAAGGATTAGTTCAGCCCTAGCTGGTTTGGCTCAGTGGATAGAGCGTTGGCCTGCGGACTGAAGGGTCCCGGGTTCAATTCCAGTCAAGGTCACATGCCCAGATTGCGGACTCGATCCCCAGGCAGCTGATCCATGATTCTTTCTCATCATTGATGTTTTTATCTCTCTCTTCCTCTCCCTGACTCTCTGTAATCAACAAAAATCTATTTTTTAAAATTACATAAAAATAATACTAAACAAAAAGGAATAGTTCATCCAATAGCACTGTGTAACTTTTCAAGCACTATCCCAGGAAATGAAAAATCTGTACAAACTGTGCAGCATTGTCTCGGGTAAAACAAGCCTCTGACACGTCTGTGAGGGACCTGCTGCTGGTTGGCCTGCTGGTTCTGTCCACAGCTCAGCAGCCTGGAAATCTGACCATCAGTCACGAGCCACTGCACCGGTCATGTGCTCACAGCGATCTCCCTTCTCAGCTGCCGTTTGGTAATAGGGACACCGGTGCGACCGGGGGCGGGAGACTGGCGGCCAGCAGGCCTGTTCACCGGGCGCCTGCCCTTCACGGCCTGTGACATCCGAGGCATATCACTCCTCCCTCTCGGGCTGAGCTTCTCCACTGGCAAATGGAGATGAAAATGTTTGCCCTACTTACCTCGCAGGGTTGTCGTGAGGACAAAGTTAGAGAGAGACAGAAAAGGAGGCGGCAGGGAAAGACTGTGAATGGGTTTTGTTGTCTGTTTCCCATATGACTGTGTATTGTATTTTAAGTTTCGACAGAATTAAAGGTTGGGCTTTAATTTTAGAATTTAAGGTCACTGGCTTGATCTCCGCTCAATTCCAGCCCTCCCTTCACTTCCCCCTTTTATAAACTCTGCCATTTAGAAGCCCCTCACCCCCCATTCCTGAATCACCCAGGTCACCCCAGAAGTCACAGTCCTCATCCCTAGCCCAGTGCTGTCCAACTGCTTCTCTGGAAAAGTGGGACCGGATATCATTTCAGAAGGGCTCCATGGCCCAATGTGGTTGGAAAATACGGACTGAACAGCAATGAGTTACCATCCACTTACACTACAAACTCAAAAAGCAAAACGTTGCTTTCCGGGGGCCATCTTTAAAGTCAAACAGCTCTGCTCCTGGACAGCTCTTTTTATAAGAAATGAGGCCTGTGTCACTGGCTGTAACATCTGTCTTCGCCACAATCCTTAGTCCCTTGTCTTTCCTCACTGCATCTCCCCCGCCACAGGTTACCATGCAAGATGCCCGGAACCACATCAAAGGTTCTTCTTTATGAGTCAGTTTCGGTGGTGTAACCTCACCGAGGTGTTTGTGTTAAACACCACCTCCTCCTACTCTCTCCTCTTCTCGGCACCGTCGGTGGCTCCTCTATTGCTGCATTTCCTTCTCTGACCGTGCTTGCTCCCTACACCGCCCCTCCTGCAGACCTGTGGCCCGAGTCACCGCAGGGGAGCAAGGTGGCTGCCCCGGCGACAGCTGTTTGGGGGGTGAGGGGGAAACGGGACGACCTTCCCACAGGAGCTAATCCATGGGAAGCTTTCCTTCCATTAATATGGGCGGTCAAAAACGCAGTGTACTTGCGCAAGTCAGTTACTTTGAAAAGCACAGTCTTAGGAATAGGATAGCATGGGACCCGGGTGAAGGTCCGGGCTGTGGAGCCACAGGCCAAGTCCTGTCAATTCCGTCTGTGCGGCTGCTGATGCCCCCTCATCGCCTTCCGCAGAAATGAGCGAACATCTGCTTTGAGTTCATAGCAGGAAATCTCTCCTGGCTGGCAGGGGTTGGGTGGGACTCAACTAAAAAGTGTTGGTGAATAAACCTCAGCCCTTTCTCTCAGCACTAAGGAGGGGGAAGCAAACAGCTTTTTAATAATTATCATAAATTTTAAATATGACTTCCCCACATTCAATCTATTGAAATTTCCATTTAAAAAAAAAAATCACAAAATGATTGCTAGAATAGGAATAAAAGCAACCGCTGACTTTTTAGTGTTTGGCACAATCTCAGCACATTTAAATAAAAAGCGATTGCCCTCTAAAAAAAACAGTAGAAAAGGTTTCTTCCAGCAAAGAAAATGAAACAGCAATGTTAAAATTAATTTAAGCTTAAAACAAGATCTACCTAATGGCTTACATGACTGGTCAGATGGCCGTCAGTTATAACAACACCGGACCTGCTGGCTCAAATCCGAAAGGACCGCGTGCAGCAGAAATGCTGCGGCAGGGCACGCGGCCCTGGCCTTGGAGCCACGCGTGCTACCACCTGCCAGCGCCAGGCAGCCCTGACAAAGCCACGCCGCGCCCGCTGCGCCAGAACAGCCGGCGCGAGGTCAACTTCGCCAAACGGCTGCCTTTGGCGGTCGCCCTGTGCCTGCGGGTGAAGCCAGGTGCCCGAGAAGCTGAGGATGCCCTAACACGCAGGCCACAGAGCGATGGGCTGCGTGGCTGACGGGAAAGTGCTGGTCCTGCCAGCCACACAGGGTTGGCGAACCTTGAAGATCACTTTTATAATTTCATCCTTTTCTTCTTTAGATGAGCGCCTAAATATTGATTCAATGGTAAACTATGTGAGCAAAGCACTGAAACGCTCACAGTTGCCAGACGTGCGGGGCCTGAGCAAGCTGCTGGGGGGGGGGGGGGGGGGTGTCCGACAAGGAGACCCGGAGACTGCGGTCCGGAGCCAAGCAGAACAAGCGCAGCCCGTTTTCTTCGCTCAGATGGGAAAGGGCTGCACTTGCCTGTGGGCTCACCAACGGCCAGGCCTGTAACTCCCCCTGGGGAAAGTTGGGAGCCAGGTCTGAAGCTTTCTTCCCCGTAGAGAGTCTTCCTGCCTTAGTTGGTGTGGCTCAGTGGATAGAGCATCAGCCTGTGGGCCAAAGGGTCCCAGGTTCTATTCCGGCCAAGGGCACATACCTTGGTTGCAGGCTTTTCCCCAGCCTGGGCCCTGGTCAGGGCTCCTACAGAAGGCAACCAATGGATGTTTATCTCTGTCTTTCTCTTTCTCTTCCACGCTCTCTAAAAACCAATGGAAAAATACCTCGGGAGAGGATTAACAACAACAACAAAAATCTAATAAAGAGTCTTCCTGCCATGGAGTCCATGAAATAGATTCTTTACGGAGCGCGATGAGTGTGACAGAGAGGCTGTGCCACTTACCTGGGGATTTCTTGCCACATGTCCAGGATGGGGATTAACTATAACATGGAAACAACTGGGATACTTTCAAAGTCTTTCCTTTTACGAGACAGCCAGTAACTGCCTCAGCTATGTAACATGGAACCCCGCTCCCGAGGAGCTTTACCTGCTTGAGAAACCGGTCGGACGCATTGCTGTGCTTGGCCAGCACGCTGGGCAGAGAGGGGTTCGCGTACTCAAACTGCGGGTCGTAGGTGTAGTCGGACTTGAAGAACCTGAGCTTCTCCTTGTCCAGGTTGGTGGGCTTTATGGCAGTCAAAATACAAATCTTCTTCCCGGAAGAATCGTCTTTTTCAAAACTCCGGCACAGCTGCGGCGGGGGCTGCGGCTTCGGCTTGGGGGAGAAATGGCGCCGCCTGACCTTGCGCTTGGATTTGGGCGTCAGGGCTATGCTGTTCCCGGTCACAGAGATGCTGGGCGTAAAGGCCGCAGGGCTGGACAGGGCGCCCGTGAGGAGGGCGGCAGGCTGCCGGTCGAGGCAGCACCAGGCGCCTCTGGTCAGCCCGGGCGCCGGGGCCTTTGCCTTGCGGAGCTCTTTGCTGTGCGGCGAGCTGGGAGACTTGCTGGGCTTCCTGCATCTCTTGGGCTGGGCGGACGAAGATCGCCTTTGGGGCTGATGCCTCTTCTCCTCTCTGCTCTGGAGGAGGACGTTGTAGCTGCTGGTCCCGGTGGTGAAGATGTCCTTCAGCACCCCGGGCGGCAGCTGGGAGGCGCTCCGGCGGCGGTCGGGGGCCGCGGCCTCCTCGGCGTTCAGCACGGACTTCTTGGCCAGCTCCTGCTCAGGCCAGTGCAGCTTCTCTGTGTCAGCAAATAAAACCAAGCACAAGAATAACAAAGATACCGCATGAAACGAATTGCTTATGACTCGGGAAGTATGCTGAAGGTTCTGCAGGCTTTGTGACTTTGCAACAATCTTTAGAAAAGACACTGTAAGTATTCATGGTACTAAACTTCGGTCATGCTAAATGTTGTCGCCTCTGAATTATCTCTAGAAGTGCACAGCTTCAAACCATGTAGATGACCAAGGTTTAATATAGATGTGAGATAGTACATGTAAATAATCTGAATACTCAACTCTACCAAAGAATGGGGATTTCTTAAATCCAAGTCACTTTCAAAGCCAATCCAATCTTGGAATCTGACAGTTTATACAAAGGTAGCCGTCAATAAAGGAAGAATAACACTGCCTTATTGATCTTGAAAACCACTTTTAAGATGAAATAATGATGTGCGTATGTTCAAGCATGTTTAAGTAATGTCACTCAACATTAGCTGGTTGGTTTTCTTAATTCTAGGCTATAGATTAAGATGAACAAAAATCAAGGATTTTTCTTGCCATGTCTGAAAAAAAAATTGTAATGACTATTACATAGATACCAGCACATCAAATGGCAAGTGAAGAAATCAACTCTGTCTTTAGACCTCACAAGTATTTAAAGAGACAAGAATCACTCAGGAGCGGCTGTAGGCTGGATTTGCACCCTTTCTTTCCACAAATACTCAAATATGACATTCTTAAAATACATCCGCATGAATGCATTTCAACCAGCTTCTAATCTGGCTCCGAATTCGAGACAGTCCTGGGAAGACCTGAATAATAATGCAAAGGAGCAAGAAGCTTAAGCGTGAAAAGCAGGAGCTATGACCTAGACTTGAGAGGAGGAGGAGAGCAATGTGAAGAGAAATGACGAGGGGGATCAGCCGAGCCTCAGTGCTTTCCGCCTCAGTCCACACTGATCAAGTGGCTGAGTTAGCCTTCCTCCTATTGTCTGAACGAGGCTCCAGCTAACGTCCCACCTATAAATCGGACATAGTCTGGTCACTAACTGTTCTAACTCCTTCTGCAAATGGGACGCATCATGGCTCTCAACCAGGCCTCGCCCCCAGGTCTCCTGGACTGTGGTGTCTCTAGCCCTCAACCTTGGGCCCTCCTGCTGAGGCAAGTTCAATGCTAACTGACTTGGACGAGTGCCTGCCTTGCCAAGAAAGACATGTTTTATTTCATTTTTTAAAAACTATCCACACACATCTGTCATCCACCCATTCAAGATGAGACATTCCACAATAAGTAGTGAAAAATAATAATAATAATAGCGCCATGACCTGTTGCCACACTTCTGTGAGTTTGGGATTTCACACCAAAGCTGTACATGTTATATCACGCCTCGGCGACGTTAAGTAATTGGCTCAAGGTTATAGGACAGGAGAGTAATAAACGACAAACTGTGGCCTGAATGCAGGTGTGTCTGATCACAGGATCCATGCTCATTCTCTCGTGTATGGTCACCCACTCAGTTATCCACAGACACTCAGGATGAACTCAGCTGCATGCACAACACGCATCACTTCTCCTCTGCAGAGGACACGGCTGCCAGTAAGACGTGGCAATGTGGATACTGATGGACTAAGATAGGTACCAGGACCGTGTCTTAGTCTTCTCTTTCTTTCCAACATCTAGCCTGGGATCTGGCAGACATTCCGTAAATGTACACGGAATGAATGGCATGACCTTGAACATGGCACTCTCCGACCTTGGTAGGTCAGCAGGTGTTAGTAGTTGTGGGAGCATTCTGTGTTTACATAGGAGACACAGCACCAGTGGAAATATAATGAGGAACTGGCAATGTCTGGAGGCATTCTGCTGTCACCGCTAGGGGGAGGAGCTGCTGGCATCTTGTGGGCAGAGGCCAGAGATGATGCTAATCATCCTTCCATGCACAGGCCAGCTCCTGCAACAAAATATTCATCCTAAGACAGTGCCAAGGGAGAGACACCCTGCTCTACATGGAAGTGTTTCCTTAAAGTCCAGGGTTGAGGGAAAAGAAATGATTCCAGGTCGAAAGTGGATAATAATCCAAGCATGTAAGGTAGTTAAACGTCCTTCTACTTAACATTTTCCGGGCCACCATGTGAAGTGTGAATGCTGGTGTCTAAATGATAACATGAAAGTATAAACTTGTGGGGGTTGAATGTCTGCTGCATTTCCAAGCTGAGAGGTGAGAGGTAGGAGCATTGACTTCACAAAGAAGCCATTCAATCCGTGCTAACGACCAGCCAAAAATAAACAGGACAAACAAAACTCTCATGGGGAGCGGATCCCCGTTCCTCAGAGGTTTTGCACTTTAGTGTTGCCTACTGGTGCTCCGAGCTGGGCAGGCCGGGCAACATGGGCTAAGGAATGCCCAGGGGCAAGGTCAGTTTCTCCAAAGACCCCAGGAGTTCAGGAGATAAGAAAGGAAGACCGAAATGGACCCTGAAAGGGAAAGAGCAAGAGAGCTGAGATAAGAACGGGTATCACACACCTAGGAAGTCAGGTGAGGACTAGGCACAGCCAGGAAGGCGGAGGGAGGTACTGGGCCCTCATTTGACAGGGGAAAGTTGCCCAGTTAAAGTCAATGAAGAAAACTATGAGGAGTGTCTAACTGTGATGGTGGGTACGTTTATGTTGTGTTGGTGTTTAAAAAGTGAACATTCAGGGTAAAAGTTCCTAAGACGCCGGAGCTCTGTGCCCAAGCGGGAGCCCTTAGTGCTCTTCTGTCTTGTCATAAAGCAGTGACCCGTGCCTTCACCGTCCTGTTCCACCCGAGCAGTCTTCACACTTCAGGGCTCTCTGACAAAGTCTGACACCATCTGCCAAAACCCTCCAGGAGCAGGCGGAGCAGGCAGTGTGTGACAGCGCGGGACCCGCCACACCCCTGGCAGGTGCCGCATCTCCGTTCACGTGCTCGCCGCCTGCCCGAGAGGCTCAGCCTCGGCCCTTTCCCAGCCTCACCTGCCGAGTCAGGCTGGGAGCAATCCCCGGGCTCTGATTTAGCAAATGCCAATCCTACCGAATGTTGGCACCCCACGAAGCTCATGACCGTGAGCAGGTGGCCCGTCAAGCACTCACACAAGAAGGATGTAAATTAATTCCTCAAGGCAGGCACACTAACCTTGTTTTCGGTTGCATGAAAAGTATTAGAGAAACTCAGAGTTTTTCTTGTAATTTTAAATACTATTGTTTAAGAAAAGACTTTTAAAACTGAGTAAGAACATAGTCAAAGCCCAGCTGAAACCGGTTTGGCTCAGTGGATAGAGCGTGGGTCTGTGGACTGAAGGGTTCCGGGTTCAATTCCAGTCAAGGGGATGTACCTTGGTTGTGGGCACATCCCCCGTCCGGGGTATGCAGGAGGCAGCTGGTCGATGTTTCTCTCTCATCAATGTTTCTAGCTCTCTATCCCTTCCTCTGTGTAAAAAAAATCAATAAAATATATATATTTTTTATAAAAAGAACATAGACAAAGCCCATCAGGTTTTACTGAAGAACATCCTATTCTAACTCCTCTTTTCTGAAAAATTAAAACTTTGGGGGAAGTGTAACTCATTTTCCCTCCGAAATGTAATAAGGTAACTAAAAATCAAACTTTCTCATATTAAAAGTCATTCACGTAGCATTCGAGCCATTGGAAATCTGCTGCACTAGAACCCGTGGGGTAAATGCACATGATTTGTTGATCAAAGAAATCATTCATCCCAACCTGATTACTCATACCGAGGAAAAAGGGAAATATTACATCAGAATTGATACTCAGTACAGTCACACAACTAGGTGAGTACACTGAGATTACCAACACAATGAAAGCTCCGTTTGTATCTGGAACGGGAGCAAAGGGTCCCAGGAGCCCTGGCGTCCATTCCCCGGGCTTTCAATGGCCTCCCTGTAACATCAGTCTAATCAGGAAGCCCATCGGGGCCTCAGGCTCCTCACCCAGAGGCGCGGGAGCGGGGAGCACTGTGCACTGACTCCCCGTGTTTCTCGGTCGCGAAGAGGTGAGGTTTCACAGTAATTAGGAGGGCCCGGGCTGAAAGGAAGATTACATCGCCAGAAACAAAGCCTGGTGGAAAACTACCATCCAACTGGCTTTGACCCACAAGGCGGCAATTTTATATGGTTCACTAATACGTATGAAACCTGAGAACTGGGGCAATTTGCACCACAAAACAACAGGCTGCTCCATGACAAGCAGAAGAAAGGGCTACTCAAAACAAAATAATCCCCAAATAAGATAAACAGTTTGATCAAGTGTTTATCTTACTTGGGGATTAATTTAATTAAACCTCAAAAGAGATCATCCGTATGGGCAGTAGAAAGAATGACTAAGCTGTGGTATAGCCATATAATAGCGAGTATATTGCAATGCAAAGAACAAACTATGGTTGCAAGCAACAATGCAGTTGAATCCTACAGACAATACAGAGCAAATGAACGAGATCAAGAGCACATGCCGTATAATTCCATTTATATCTAGCTCAAAACCAGAAATCAACAGAGTGGCTAGCTTAGAGGGAGGGCTTATAACTAGGAAGAGGTACCAGGCTAATGAGAGCAAGAAATGTCCTGCATCTTGTTCTGGGTAGTGGTTACATACGTGCAAATTCATCAGGCTCCACACTTAAGACTTGTGACCCTTAATGAATGTAAGTTACACCTTAATTTTTAAAAATGACTTATGAAAAAATCAGTATCTTTGAAAACATATTTGTCCCCCAACTGTCTGCATTATAATAGAAAAGCTATCCTATATAATAAAGAGTTAATATGCTTATTAGACAGGACAGCGGAACAACCTGCCAAACGACCGTGGGCAGGGCCGCGGGGCCGGGGCCGAGAGGCAGCCAGGCCCGAGAGGCAGCCAGGCCGTGAGGGCGGAGGCAGCCGAGCTGAGAGGGCCAAGCCTTTTGCACGAATTTCATGCATTGGGCCTCTAGTTAATGGTGTCATCTCTAAATCCAACAGCACCCACTATATAGTTTCTCAATTGTAAGTTAAAAAACGAGATGGCCCTAACCATTTGGCTCAGTGGATAGAGCATCAGCCTTCGGATCCAAGGGTTCAATTCTGGTCAAGGGCATGTATCTTGTTTGTGGGCATATCCCCAGTAGGGGATGTACAGGAGGAGACAGCTGATCGATGCTTCTCTCTCATCGATGTTTCTAGATCTTTATCCCTCTCCCTTCCTCTCTGTAAAAAAATCAATAAAATATATTTTTTTAAAAACAAAACAAAAAAATGAGATGGAAAGATCCTACTATTACAATTCCAGGAACTGAGGAACACAACAGTATTCCAGGATTCCTAAAAATGCCACCGGCCCAGCTGGGAACACCTCAGTGTTACTGTTAGTGGCAAAGATTCTTTATAACATGACACTGTTTTCTGGTCAGAAACTGTTATGGTGTTATTTATTTATTGATTGATTGATTATGGTATCACATAATTGTCCTCATCCCCCCATTCCCATCCCAAACCCCTCTCTACATATGCCCCCACCCCTCTGTTGTCCATGGCCACTGGCTAGGCCCATATGCATCCACAAAAGTCCTTTGGTTGATCTCTTCCCCTTACCCCCACCCTCCCCTACTTTCCCTCTGAGGTTTGAGAGTCTGATCGCTGCTTCTCTTTCTCTGGGTCTGTTTTTGTTCGTCAGTTTATGTTGTTCATTATTTCCTCTAGATGTGTGAGATCATGTGATCCAAGAAATACCCTTGTAAGGACCTAAGCTGCGACAAGCCATAATGGTTATGCTGAGAGGCAAATGAATCGGTCTGTAGTGAGTTCCTTTCTGGGCCAAAAGTTCTTTTGAGTCCCAATTTCAATGTCAAATAGTTCCTTATGTGTACATGTCAGCCGTGAGATTTCAGATCTGGTTGGTGACAAATGGTGGTGATGCAGGTCCGACCGTCCCTGGGCTGTGGTGTCATTTTTTTACAAGTGAAAATACACAGAGTGTTCTGTAACGCCAGAAGTGATGATTGTGGTGAGAGAAGCATTAAACACCATCTAAAACAATGGCAAACTTCCCCCGGTTTCCCACTTCGGATGAACACAAAACCCTTCAGCACGGCACCTGCGGTCATTCTGCCACGGGCACACCCTGCACAGTCCCGGACTCAGGCATTGGAGCTGCCTTCCATGTGTCAGCCCCTCACGCTCACCTCTCTCTCCAGACCCAGCACCTCCTCACTCTGTCCCTGTGTTTGGCGAGTTCTCCCCTCCCCTTTATTAGATACACTTCTACTCGTCCTTCGCTTCACACACACTGCTCAGGAAACCTCTGGGAGGGGCACTGCTAAGGCTGCAGCCTTACATTTGTTGTAGGGTGGCCTTCCCTGACACTGACACTATATATCCCTTAGTTGTGTTCGACTTTGCTCAGTGCTCTGGTCATGCAATGATGTAACAAAGGGAAGAGAATATCTGAGCGGTGAGAAAAGATAAAAGACTTCAATGCCTGATAGTTGAGAGAAAAATCTATCCAACATAAGGAAATGAAGCAACTAGTTGCCCTGGCCAGCGTGGCTCAGGTGGGTGAGTGTCCTGCCATGCCCCGAGAGGTATCCTGTTCACCCGTTCGATGCCAGGTCTGGGCACATGTCCAGGTTGTGGGTTCAATCCCCAATAGGGGATGTGCAGGGGGGAGAGGGGGGAAGCCCATTGATGTTTCTCTCTCATGGATGTTTCTCTTTCTCTCCCTTACCCTCTCTCTCTCTCTCTCTCTCTCTCAAATCAATTAAAACTATTTTTAAAAGATGAAACCACTAGTGGTTGTTGAAGCAAGTTTTAATGGCAGGTGTCTACTGCTGCTGCAGGCCACACAGGAGCAATGCACCTAAGCATTCCATCCCATAAGGCCACACAGTGAGCTCCAGAAGACGTTGGCCCCCGGTATTTTAAACATTCATATTTGTTACAAGGAGCTCCATTTCCAGATGCCGCATCCATTGTTTCTATATCACACACAAAGCGTGGGCAGTAAGAAATCATAAACTGACACAGTCTCACATGGTTTCTGACAGCACTTGCTACTCATTGAATGAGTTCGATGTCTTATTTTCTATTTTGAAACAAAGTTTTAGTAAAATATGATCTTTTCAGAATGAAATTTACAGACTTGTCTGTGATAAAAACCTAAAAAACACCAACGTGAGTGAGCTGCCAGATAATGTGCTGTCAGTGAGCTCTTCCTGTTGAATCTGTGGCTCAAGTCAGGTCTTACGGTCTTTGTCACGGCGCCGGGCCTTTCCTGGGGGGGACAGGGGCGTGGGGATGGAGCTCAGCTGAACTGAATCTTGGCTATCAGTGGCTGTGACCTTGACCACGTCACTGAACTTTGTGCTGTTTCTTATCTATAAAATGGGACCATAAACTACATACGTTATAGTATTGGTGCGAGGAACCAAAAAGTCTGTTAAGTGCTGAGAACAGTACATCCTGTATTTATGGTCATTATTTTATTCAATGTTATATTTAGTTCCAATAGAACTACTCCATGAAATAATATAAATGGGAAAATACTTAGAATCATTAAATTTGGATTTCCAGGTAAATTTAACATTAAACAATTCTATATTCTACAACCAACCTTTTGGTGGCTTTAGTATAATAAACTGTCTTCTTTAAAAAGCTGTGAGAAGGCACAGAAACCTTTTCTGGCTTGATTTCATTTCAAATAGCATAGAGAGCATACACAGAACTCACAGCTTTCTTACCACATTCTCCTAATCAGCTGTCACACCACAATGGTGCATTTAGGTTGTGTTAAATCATGGCTAATAAGTCAAAAGTACGCAGGATATCAGATAGGGAGTGATTTCAGAAGCATTTAATTGCTCAGTCCTGAAATAAAAACACATCGGTTTGCTCTAACTTTATGGCGATTTTAGAGCTCAAAACACACACACACACACACACACACACACACACACACACTCACACACACACACACACATTTCCATCAGTGCTCTCACCCCAGGTAACTAAACTCTTCTGTGGACAGGGAAAGGGCCGCCTGGGTGCCAGTGAAGAGTGAGGGGATAGTGAGGAGGAGGTGCGCTCCCTAAAGCATCTGGCCATTCTAACGGGGCTTTCTATATGGAATGAAAGCTGGGCAAGAACTCCGGAACTGTCATCGTAGCTGGCCACACACTGTGTAAAAGAAACGAAGAGATCATTCTGAAAAATGACCTGGTTAATTCTTTTTAAAGAGGTTGTAAATTTGAGGCCTGGGTCGTCTCAAATGGCTGTTTGAATTTTTAATGAACTATAGAAATTCGCTGCCAAATTATCTCTCTCAAGGTATTCAACATGAAGTGTTAGATTGATACATGCATTGCATTTAATTATAGGGAGAGAGTTGAGGCAAGAGGACTGTGTCTACTATTTTACAGAGCAGCTCTCTTCAGACTTCCAACTCTGCATGTAAAAAAAAAAAAACTTTGTATTGCTGACTAGTTGGTCAGAATATCTAATATCTACTCTCTAATACTATCGTACTCGTATACCCTCTCTGTAAGGATTGTTATGCCTTGGGGAAGTTATTTTAATTGATTTTACTTCTAAAGCGTTACCAAATAACCGTCACTCTGACAGAACCTAACTGTATAAGGCAGTGGCCCTCAAATGTGGGGGTCGGGTGGCATAATTTTGCCCTCCAGGGGACACTTGACAACGTCTGGAGACATTTCTGGATGTCACCACTGGTAAGGGAGGGTGTTGCTCCTGGCACCTGTGGACAGAGGCAGGCGATGCTGGGAAACATTCCACCATGCACAGAACAGCCCCACAACCAACCATTACCTACTAAGTCAATGGTAATGAGCCCAGGCTGGGAGCCCTGCTCCAGGACAAAAGGATGGGGTGGTATTTTTAAGTAACTGTCAGTGTTTCCATTGTCTTTTAAGATGCAAATAGCATCTACATCAAATCACATTTAAAAAATTTAATGCCAATTTAAGTTGCCTTAGATCTTAGATCCTGCAACTGTCTATGTTTCCTGTTGACATAACAGTGAGGTCAATCCAAGCAATGGCATGGTCGAGCAAAATCTGCTCCATAGTTTATATCATGGAACATGAAATAAAAAAGAATAAAATTAAGATCATAACTATATGGAAAGGAATTTAGTCTTACAATTAAAATATTCAGAGAAAAAAAAAAACATGGCTTATTAGGTACTGTAATGCCTGGAAGTAAAAAATTCTGTCCTCATTTATTTTGACACTGGTGTTAGAATCAGACATTTCCTCTTACTCTGCTGTTCTTCCTCTAATACTGGACTACCACGAGCCATGTCTTGCAGAAAGGTTATACAGAACCAAATGCTGGGAACCTGGCCTAGACTACTAGTCTAATATCACGTGAGATAATTTTTAAATGATTAATATCCATAGTTATTTAAAAAATTAATGAAGTAAAGTTTCTGACCTAGGTATAGTACATACTAAAATAACCTTTTAAAAACATCATCTCAAAACTCCTTACTGACTTAATAGAAGCACGCATACAAATAAGCAGAATAAACACAGATACATAGAAATGTGTTCTTTTGGTTAGCTCTGATTTTATGAGCAGTCTACAAAATTATGTCCTAGGACACTATAATGCCTAATGACACCTGCTGTGTTTTGAAATAGAATTTAACAATGTGTGTTTAGACTGCATTTGTAGGGCCAGTGATTTTTGCATGATTAAGGAAAAGGGACCGTTTTCATCCCCCTCCGCACATCCTTCCTCCCCCTCCCCCTCAACATCTCCTAGTCCCGCATCTCCGCGCACGGAGCCCGCATCTACCATTACCCGGCCCTCGGGCTGTCAGGACCGCACAAGCGGCGGGACAGACACGGCGCCCCGGCCTGCCCTTCCGCACTCACCCGTCACGCGAATGGACTCCAGCATCCTCCGGCCGGGGTCGCGGGCGGTGGGCTCCGCGGGCTCGGGGGACGAGAGCTGGCTTCAGAGACGAGGTCGCGGGGGAGGTTACGGCCAGCGACCTGGGGCAGGATAGGCGGGTAAGGACAGACGGACGCGGGGCGGTGGGGAGCGCTCCTTCCAGCACGCAGGTGTCTGAAGGTACACGCCTCGGCCCAACGGAGGGGAGCAGCGTTTAGAACCCGCGCTGTGACGTGGCCGCTCCCCCGTTGCTAGGAAACGTTCCAGGCGTCCGCAGGAGCTGTGCTTCCCGGAGCCTGCGCGCCGCAGGGGGCGCTCGGGGGTCGGCCGGGCTCCCAGGATGAGACAGGGGAGGAACTACAACTCCCGGCGTGCACAGCTCGCGCCTCCCCCGCGCACGCGTTCTGACTGATAACCCGCACAGGCGTTTGTGCGCTGTTCAAACAGGCTGAAGTGGGCAGTAGCTTCACAAGGGAGGGTGTTGTGACGTGAAACTCAGCCCCAGCTGCGAATTGCAAAGCCGGTCTTCTCCGCCCTTCAGTTAACTTAGAAGATGCGGGGGAAACTAAAAACTTGAGGTTGGGCTGGGTAATATGAGCACCTTTTATTAGTTGAGGAAGCCCACATTAAAAAATCGGGACTTTTTTTAAAACGCCGCGGGACGTCTGGTCACCTTACCTTTGAGTACCCCTGCATCATAGACTCAAGAGTACAATACAAATTTTAATTGATAGAACTGGGTGTGTTTTTCTTTTTTTCTTTTTTAAATATATTTTATTGATTTTCCACAGAGAGAAAGGGAGAGGGATAGAGAGCTAGAAACGTCGATGAGAGAGAAACATCAACCAGCTGCCTCCTGCGCACCCCTCACCGGGGATGTGCCCGCAACCAATGTACATGCCCTTGACCGGAATCGAACCTGGGACCTTCCAGTCTGCAGACCGACGCTCTATCCACTGAACCAAACCGGTTTTGGCTTGGTGTGTTTTTCAATTTATTATTGCGGGGAAAATGTAACGGCTATACCATTCAACAGTTTGAGAAAGGCCTGAGGACATAGCGGGGGATGAAAGGAGTCTCAGGAAGCTTATGGTCTAGCAGTGTTTCCCAAAGTGTGGTACGCATACCCTCAGGGGTACGGGAAGAGTTTGGTGGAGATATCCACTGTACTGTGCTTAGCTGCGCCTAATTCTACGTTCTCATGAGTACGAGGAGTACTCAGCTTTATGAAAATTATAGAAGGGGTACACACATGTCAAAAGTTTGGGAAACACTGCTCTAGGGGGAGCTCATGCACTAGTGTTGTTGTCGCTGCCAATGTTCAGAGCCACATCTCTTTACCCTTCCTCAAGGCTGAGAGTAACACAGCAGGAGGGCAAGAGAAGGGTTGGTCCTGGCTCAGTCTTCCCTAGGGACTCACCCCTCCTGGCACCAACAGGACACAAATAATTGGGGATGTTTTCAAACTCAGGAACAAAAGAAAGCTGAAGTTATGGCAGGCACATCACACTCCGAGAGCATGTGAGAATCTGTCTTTTTCATCAATTAGGAAAGAACAATGGAAATTTATCACCACTAGTGGATTACCTCACATCTAATTCTTTCAGAAAACCCTGGGATTACTATCTTCAAAATGTATCCAGAACCCAGCCACTTATTTCAGTTCAACCCACCATGACCATCTTTTATCTGGATTATAGCTAGAGTATTCTGAACATCTCTCTATTTCCATCCTTCCTCTCTTCACTTTAATCTCAAAACTCAGTGGCCAGTGTGATCCTGTGGCTGGGAGATAATCTCACTCCCCTAAGTAAAACACTCCAATGGCTTCCTTTCTTACTTATGAGGTCCTTTATATCCTGGCCTACTGCCATCTCTTTGATCTCATCTCCCTCTACTCTCTCCTCCTTGGTCCCTGATGGACACCCTCAATACTCTGCAACTATGACAAGCACTTTCACCTCACAAGCCTTTGCCATTCGGGATTTCCCTTCTTGGAAGTCTCTCCCCACAGATGCCCACGGACGAACCAGCTCCTTCAATTCTTTCAGAACTTAACCAAAATACCATGTCTCGGTGAGGACTTAACTAGCCACTCAATTTAAAATTCCACTCCTGCCCTGACTGGTTTGGCTCAGTGGATAGAGCGCCAGCCTGCGGACTGAAAGGTCCCAGGTTTGATTCCGGTCAAGGGCATGTACATTGGTTGAGGCAGCTGATCAATGTTTCTAACTCTCTATCCCTCTCCTTTCCTCTCTAAAAAATCAATAAAGTATATTTAAAAATAAAAAAAAATAAAAATTCCACTCCTTTCTCAGATTTCTTGTCCTCCTCCTCTGCTTCATTTTTCCCCCTTAACATTATTCACTTTATTATATACTAGTGACCTGTTGTAGGAATATTCCTGCATGACTTCCGGCCCGCCACCACCACCTCTCCCACCCCCCACCTCTCCCGCTGTGGCGCCCTGCCTGTCTCACCCGCCTCACCATGCCCATGGCCATCGTCTCCGTGGCCTTGGGTGCACTGCCACCACCACTACCTGCCACCTCCGCAGCCACGCGCCTCCGGTGCGCACCTCGCCCTGCCCGGCCGGCCCCACATGCGCTGCCAGTGCTTTCCCTCCAGCAGTCGCAGCCATCTTGCTTTCCACTTTCCCTCCCTCTTCCTTCTATGCTATCTTCAGTCTTCACTCCTCCACATATGCAAATTAACTGTCATCTTTGTTGGGTTAATTTGCATACTCACTCTGATTGGGTGGTGGGCGTGGGTGGTGGGTGTAGTGGGGTAATGTTTAATTTGCATATCACTCTATTATTAGGTAGAATATGCTGATTTGTCTTATTGTCTGTCTCTGCCTTAGAATAAAATTTCTATAAGTGCAAAAATTTTGGGGTGTTCACTATAATATTTCCAGCATCTAGGATGGTGCATGGCATGCAGTAGGTACTCAATAAATTATTTGTAAGTTAATAAGTAGACAATAGAAAGCATACATTTTCAATAGTAACTCAGAGAAAACAGAATGATATAAAATGGGTATATAAGAAAAACTCTCCAAGTTAAAGCACTTGATATAGTAATGAACACTGAATCCTTTGCATTCATAAGAGCAATTATCCTTTCAACATATGTCCTAAGGAAAAATGCTGCAAATGAAATGTATATAACAAGCTTCCTTATATGCCTCCCTTAGCTTCTTTATAGACCTAAAACTCTGAAACCCCCTTTCCTAGTTTGCTATAAAGGCATCTATTACTCCTGCATATTTCTAGTTTTCAAAGTCACTGTTTCTCAAAATATGAAGACTCCTGAAATATTCTTCTGAGTCATATGTCAACATCTCTGTAAACAACTTATCTGGATACTTTTTACTAAAGCATGCTTAATCAGATTGCCCATTTTCATTATATTTTGAAGAAACCAAAATGTATTATTTCACTCATTCCATTTATTTATATACAGGCACTGGGACTTGTACTTTTAGAGTACATAAAAGACAGGTACTTACCCACAAGAACCTGGCTGACTAGCAGGTAAGGTTTCATACAGATCTCACACTAAAGGGGCCTCCTGCTTCAACATTTCATTTAACTTATTTCATTCTTCACTTTCAAAATTATTTTCATGTTCACTCTACATTTTTTTGTGTATCACTCAGTAAATATCTTTACTGGTAAGTATTATATAATGTTGCATGTCAATTTAATCAAAACATTTTAGAAGATACTCTTCCTGTGCTGTCAGGCATTGAAGTGCTCTTGCTAACAAATCCATGAACACAAAGAGCTTATCTAATTTTCTACAAAACTGGTACTGATACCGGCTCCTTTTACCGATCCCGCCTATGCAATTATTCATCCTCATCAAGCTCTGCATCTGCTCTGCTAATTGCTCCTTCGCGCTATGCCTGCCTAGCATTTCCATTGGCACAGCCTCTGCAGCTGCCCACTTGGCTGCTTTTGAGTCAGCATTGTCTTTGCATATGTGCCAGAACAATGAACAATTCCATCTTTCCGAGAAACTTATATCTTTATACCTGATTTTACACAAACCATTATTTTCAAGAAAATTGGCGTGATTATCCATTTCAAAGCACCGACTGTAAAATAAAGTTAAGCATATTAAAACTGACTTTAGTAAGTTGTGTTTATCTTTAAAGATGCACCTTCTCCTCTCTTTAAAGTTTTATTAAACTACAGTTTTCCAATACTAGCCAAGAATACCATTGTAGTTAGTTGTCCTACTGTACTCCCCTTTTTAAAAAATATATATATTTTTTATTGATTTTTTTTTTTTTTTTTTACAGAGAGGAAGAGAGAGGGACAGAGTTAGAAACATTGATGAGAGAGAATCATCAATCAGCTATCTCCTGCACACCCCCCACTAGGGATGTGTCCGAAACCAAGGTACATGCCCTTGACCGGAATCGAACCTAGGACCCTTTTAGTCTACAGACTGATGCTCTATCCACTGAGCCAAACCAGTTTCGGCTGTACTCCCCTTTTAAGCTCAGTTCCCTGTGCACTATCAGCATTGCATTGTGGGTTATTTCAGTTTAATGATGATTTCCATTCAATTTAAATACAAAAATGATAGGGGAATAGGTATTTTAATAGAAATATTATTCTTTTATGTGGGATTTTTATTTATGAGTAAAGAGCTTAAAGTTTTCTTATTTTATCAGTAACTTTTGTTTATTTAACTCTCATGTTAATCTGTATATTCCATGTACATGCTACATGGCAAACTATCCAGTTGATGGGGTTTGGGGATAATAAAAATCCCGTGTAAAAATCTCTGTAATAAGAGAAGATTTTTTTTTAAAGAAAAAGATTAACATTCTCCTTTTGAAAGACGGAGAACACATCTGATCATTTACTGTCAATGGAGGAGTGGGTAATAAAGACCAGGAAAGAGGAAGAGGGATGGTGGAGACCTGAGAAGGCTGTTCACAAGTATTGCTAGTGCCAGGAGAGACAAATAACTACGAGGTTTTACTTTCT